AAGACAGAAGTGATCGGGCACCCCCCGAAACCCTAAACCCTAAACCCTAAACCCTAACCGTTGGGGCTGCGGGGGATGGGGCTCCGGGATTCGGATTCGGTCTGTTACTGGTTTTTTTATGGGTTTTTAGGGTTTACTCGGAGGTTCATGGGCAGCTATATAAGTCCCTAATTTAATAGGGGCTCCTGTAAGGGTTCTATAATGGTTTAGGGTTTAGGGCTATAAGTAGGGTAACTATATATAACTATAACCCACGTTAGGGTTGGGCGACGTATAACCCCACTTATAGCTACCCTAAACCCTAAACTCTATAGAACCCTTAAAGGAACCCATATTGGGGACTTCTAACCTCACTTAGAACTACCCAGGAACCTCCAAGCAGGGAAACCCAAGACCTGCAACAAACCAGCCCCGAAGGATTAGGGTTTAGGGTTCAGGGTTGGGGGTTCAGGGTTTAGGGTTTAGGGTTTAGGGTTCAGGGTTTAGGGTTTAGGGTTTAGGGTTTAGGGTCTAGAAGGACTGGTATTTGCGGATGTTGGTGTTCTTTCCCGGTGCTTGCCGTGCCACCCGCGTAGGGGCTTCAGCTGCGAAAACCCCTAGGCCCTAAACTAAAAGCCGAAAAGTCCGAGTATCGTAGATAAAAAAAACTAAAAAGCCGAAAGCCTAAACAATCCCTAATACCCTCAGCGACCCCAAAGTGTTTAACCCTAAACGGCCCTAAACCCTACAGCCTAAACTCTAAACCCTAGGCTTGTACTCGAAGCGGAAGACTTTCAACCCTACGCCCTAAAGCTTCGAACGAGGACCCGACCGGGTTGGGGGTTTAGGTTTTAGGGGTTTGGGGGATTTTAGGGTTCAGGGTTCAGGGTTTAGGGTTCAGGGTCTAACGGCCGAAATACCCAAAATTCGGAAGCCTGCACCCAAAATCTTAAGTTTAACCAAAGGGGCCCAAACCCGAGAGCATAGCCGAAAGCCCTAAGCCCTAAGCCCTAAACCCTAAGCCCTAAACCCAAAACCCTAAACCCTAATCCCTATACAGATCCCTAAACCCTAAACCCCTAAACCCCAAGCCCCAAGCCTAGCCCTGAACCCCAAACGGACTCCCAAACCCGAAAGTCCCCTGCACTTTGACGAAAAGAAGCCCAACCCCAAACCCCAAAAGGCCTAGGGTTTAGGGTGAATCTGAAGCCTAAACCCTAAACCCGGAGCCCTTAACCAGAAACCTTAAAGGAGTTTAAAGCCTAAACCCTAAACCCTAAACCCTAAACCCTAAACCCTAAACCCTAAACACGTACAAGTTTGGGCCAGGAATGATGCTCTTCCCCGGAGTTGTCTTCCTTCTGGTTGCCTTGACCCGCCCAGAGTTGCTGAAGGCCCGGTTTAGGGTTTGGGGTTTAGGGTTTAGGGTTTAGGGTTTGGGGTCCTGTCTCGTTAGGGCCCCCCAAATAGAACAGCACCCTTATAAAGAAGAGCCCAAAAGGGACCCCAATGTAGAGAACTACCCAGAGAAGAGGGATATTGCTTCCAATGGCATCTGTTTGCCTAACAGGGGATACGCGAAACCTGTCATGACCTGCAAAATCTAACTGTTGAAGTACATGGCCCATACAGCCAGAGGCTACAACCGTGCAGTAGCTTCTTTTTTTGAACTGTTAAGATTGAGTGCTCCCCCTAAACCCTAAACCCTCGCCATTTGTTAATGGGTCACTGGAGAACCTCGTCCACGACCTGAGAAAACCAAGATTCCGCGCCTGGACGCCGAAGGTTTGTGTTGAGTCTCGGGCCCCAAACCGTTACCCTGGTTTAGGGTTTAGGGTT